TTCTAAGGCCACCACATGTATATCGTGAGAATTGGCTTGAGACTCGAGTGGACAGGTGGATTTTCTATCACCAACCATGGCCATCTGAAAGCCCCTTACTTTCCAACATTTTTAACATTGGAAATCCTCACTTCATTAAATCCACCTGTCATTTATTTATGTTCCAATCTGTGTCAGATGTTTTTTAATTGAATTACAGTAATGTTGTATTTCAGTCCAGTTTTGCCTTAGTTGTCCCACCTCAATTTATTTTTTTAATCCCTGCTTTGACTACAACATAGTCAGTCACTGAATAAAGTGAAGAGCTATACTGTTGTGAACTTCATGTATAGCTGACAATATATGTTTTAGGAACCAGACAGAGCAAACAATACCAAATGCCGCATCAATGATATTTACTTTGATTAATACATGGATGGAGTTTGGGATCATATGACTGCTGAAAGTACAGTGTAATGTTATGCTGAACAACTGCAATGTACAGGTAGGCAATTAAACAGTGTTTCAGTGTTTACCAATATTACTAGAGTATAGTACATAATTGCAATTTATGTACATGTACAAGCTTTATGATATTGATTATAATTAATGTAGTATAGTACAATACAATGTACTGTTTTACAATACATAACAACATGTACAAAAGTGTTTAACAGTATGTGTTCAGCATGAAGGTCATATTTGTATATCAAAAGGGATGTACCAATAATTTTTTATCTACTGTATTCATTCAGGTAGTTATACAGTACCTGTACCCGTAACATGGGTGAAGCCAAACTTGAGACAGGTGAGGCTTTTGCCTCACCACCATTTTTCAGGAAAACATTTATTTGGACAATATGTGTATATTAAGTCTGTGAAGATAAAGGAAAGCACATTATTCTAGTATTGCCCCAATAAAATCAATTTGATCTCTGGAAGAGGCAGATTTAAATTTAGGTAAACACTCTACTTCAGCTTCAGTATAAATATTTTTTTGAAATTTCCCTCATTTCCATTATGGCTACTTCCTTGTATATAGTAAATGTTATGTTATATAGAGATTATTAAATGGGAGAGATGGTATATGAATTTTATTCTGGGGGGAAATATTATATTGGCCAAGGAAAATATCATATTGACCGAGGCAATAGCCCAAGTGTCAAAGTGATATTCTTCGAGATCAATATCACATTTTCTCAGGGAAAATACTAATACTCCAACACAACTGAAACTTATTTATAAGTTTTGAATGTCATCACCCAATGATGGTGTGATATAAAATGATACAATTGAATTCTTCTGATATCGGATCCAATATGGGATCTGATACAGGATTTTTCCTGATGCGAAATCTTATTTTTTTCCCAGGGAAAACATGCTATTATAATTATGGAATAAATATTTATATACAATGATCTTTCCTTTACAGCACAAAGAGAAGAGGAGTTTCTCAAAGATTGCAGTAGGCTATACAGTGGGAAAATACAGTACATCCATCTCTGAATGAAAGCCTTCATTGAGATGCTGCTAAATATGTGTTTGATTCAGAAACAACACTGGAGTCATATTGGACAAAAACAAGGTAATGTTTGTTTTATCACTGATGGCCAAGGGGAAAGGCAGGTGTCATTCTCGGCCTAAAGGCTGAGAGGCCGTTTCTTTGTACTTTTCTTTGGCATTTTTGAAAAAAGTGGACCCAAAGCTCATTTATTTAAATTCAAGTCCCGCAAGTCAATTTCCAGAGCCAACCCTGAACATATGTGTATTGCCATTATTGTGACACTATAACCTTTTCATAAGATTAATTAGACTAATCAGAAGACTGATTATAGAGTATTTTATAGGTCATGTACAGAAACAGGTCACTAAATAAAATAAAAACATTTTGTAATGTATGAATTCAAATCATGAAGTAAAATGATACAAAGTACTGTGTATGAAAAAATGAAAATTCGGCCTAAAATGAAAAATTTGGCCCAAAATGAAGATTTTTGAAGGAAAAAGAATTTAATTTTAGAAAAGAAAATTCGAAAAATGAAAAATCATGATCCTAGGAAAATAAACCCCACGTTCAATCCCTCCAAGTAAATAACCTCTATGCATTTTCTCATTAAAGATGGAATCAGGCAACCCCCAGTTAGGAAAAAACTTTACGAGAGACCGATTTCAGCTACTTTTGCGGTTCTGGTACATGTACAATAATGAGGTTGCATTAGTTGAAGACAAGCCTGGCTGCAACCCCTATATCAAGGTCAGTTGCTTGATTTCTGCGTTCAACGGGAATTCTGCCATAATACTCTCCATGAAAACATTGCTCTGATTGCGGGACTGGTCTCTATGAGCAAGAGGTAAAATTTTTACTTGATAACTTTCTGTGAAAATATGTAATACAAGACCCTATTTTTACACTTTTATATTTTGCTTTCACATTTAAAACATATTCACACCACAGGAACAGTGCATAACTTTCCTGGTTAATGCCATATATCTTTAGACAAGTTACATGAAATAACTTTATTTCATTTTTTTCTTTGTTCCTCTCAGACATTTGATTTAGTTTACCCTGAAAACAGAAGAATGGTACTACTGAAATTAAATCAACAAAAATAACAAGCAATATTCATCTGTCACAACTTAGTCCAGTGTAATTTTGATTGTATATATTCAGGGGTACATTGTTATGATTAATTAGACATCAATAGTTTGTCATTCCATATATGTGAGTGAGGAATATAACAGTGAATAATAAATAAATATTTAATTCTATTTTTGGTGAATGCTTGACACTTGACGCTTTCACAAGATATTCCACTTGCACTTCGGGCTTCGTGAAATATCACTAGTGAAAGATGCACAGGTATTCAACCTCAATAGAAATAAATATTTGTATGTTATTTCTGACTGGTGTAGTAGAAAGAACACATTGAACAGACTCAGTGAAATACATGTCTCAAGAAAGGAATCGTGGTACATAGATTTGTACAAAATATTTATTGAACATATAGCGCATTTTCTGAAATTTGTTCATATGATAAGTAAAACTAATATTTGTTATACAAATGATAATCAGATAGCCTAATCATTTACATATTGCAGGATAACAACCGATGGGGACAGTGGATAGCACAGATCAAATGATCACACAGTGATGGATGAACTCCAATACTGGCATAAAGTGGGCGTTGCAATACTCAGTTGAATGCTGCTTAACTCTTACATTGTATATGGAGCACACAGATACAGAAAAGACAATGCAAAGGTATGTAGTTTGAGAATACTCATGTCAGCATGAGCTACAGGTATGGTCGAAACTGATCATTGAGAGGGTACTTTTGGTACATACATGTTCATATACTAGCTTATCTTTTCACTACAGTAGGTGTCGAGTTTGCAACTGTTCTCAACAGCTGCTCATATCATTAGCTAGCCCATTGACTGTCAAGTCTGATTATGAATTTCCATAACCCTCATATGGCAGTGTAATTATGTAACAAATGTATTGTATCTTTTTTAAAGAAACTGATATAAAATGATTTTCTTTAATTTTCTTTTAATATCAATTACAATTTTGAATATACATCACAATATATATATCGATTTCAATGTAAGTGAACATTTATAAATAATATTACTGATGTTTGTTTTCAGATACTCATTTATGATTGACCTGATTGAGGGCCTTGCAACTGCCCCCTGTCCTGCACTTTAGTTAATGCACTAAGCCATTGGCCAGGGATATTACCTGACAACAAGAAAAGCAGTATGTTCTGTGTAGCCAGCTAGGGACCTGTCACCATTCCAGGACAGAATGTGGAAAGGGTTTCATTTGAAATGTTTCTTCTCAAAAGCAAGCAAGAGGAGAGGATATGAATTTGGGCAACTCCTGCTGGCAGACACATTGAACATGAATATATAGTAATACTATAGCACAGAATATATCTCATTCAATACCTTCTTCAACCAACAATCTGTAGGTTGAAATGTAAAAACGATGGGAAAAAATTAAAGGAAAATACAAGGGGCATAAATCAATCAATCTAAATGTCCAATTTCTACGACTGTAACTTTTCAATATAAATAATGAATAAAACAAACAAACAAACAAACAAACTAAGCATGACTTGTCAAGTTAAACCATAATCTGTTGCCATGGTAACATATATTCATTGCCATAATGCCAACAATAAGTTTAAACTTTGAGCAGATTTTTTTTGAGGATAGAATTGAAATCAATATGGACGCTAGTGAATTAATTGTACTGTAAATTGCAAATTCTTACAAAATGTTACATCCACTTACTGTTGTCATGGTAACAGATATTGATATATGTATGTGTGAAATTCTCTTATCTTCTATACATGTATTGATCCAGAATGATTTAATTAACTTCATATTTATATTATGTATTGATATCAGTAGACAAAATAAGATACAAATGTAATAATTAATTGTTTTTGTAATACCATCAATATTTTGGTAAAAAATCAAGGATTTTAGTAGAAAATGAGCTTTGATAAGATTATAAACGTTATGGTCGGCCGACGGTGCTATGTATTGTTCCAGATATCATCTGCAAATGACAAATTCATGGGCAATTATATTTTTGTCTAGTTTTTTGTCCTATTTTATAATTTATATTTGATTGGATGTGATGTAGGGGCAAATGGATTAATTCATGATTACCTATGAATTGTATTTTACAGCGTTATTTTTCTAATAAGTAAAATGGCGGCCATATTGATGACGTCATATATAATTTGCATATTTGAATAATTTATTCATCAAGATAATCATTTTAGCTTTCCAACGATGTATCATACATGGTTCCATCGGAAATAATGACTAAGTTATGAAGTCAGATATACCGAGGCCTAATTTTCTCTATTTTACCATGAAAAGTCTAGCACTGTGGCAAAAGCTCTTCATTCTTGAATTAGCAGCAAAATGAAATATTTGCCTTTTTTTGTAGCATTGATAGGGTTAAGCCACAAAACCACTGTTTTTACTTTCCAATAAAAATAAGTAATACGCCCAATAATAGCCATCAAATGCATGCTTGGTACCTATCAATTCGGATAAAAAGTGTTGAATTATGCTACCAGATTTGATCTTCTAAGGCAAACACATTGGAAGTTAGTTGGCCGAGTTGAAATTTTTAACTAAGATAGATTGGAGGACAACAAACGAAATACCAGTTGAGTTAATTATGTAAAACCTGAGTCCCAGGCTTGAACTTGAAATTCAAATTCAACTTGTAATTCAATCATTGGCTTGTTCAACCCATTAATATGATGATCTGCATGCATGTTTCTCCTGAGATTAACTGACCGATACCCGGCCTGTCATTCCTCGTGCACATTGGTGCTTTCAGCGTTTATATAAGTCAAAACCTTCTATCAGTTTTGTTAGTCACATTTTCATTTTTTGATTTGGCAAACGTCAAAATTATGCTAAGCCTCGTTCTGGTCTGACGACAATGAAGTGAGATATAAGTTCAGAGCAATATCACTTCCAGCCTCATTTACATCAAACGTTCCTGAACATTCTGGACACTTTGCATTAAGTAGTTTTCCAGAAAAATCAATCACTTTAGACACAGCTTTGCATATTGGGCAAGTGTAGTCAGCAGTATTTAGGCCTTTTAAGGTATCGAACAATTCGGTCGCGACACTGGCGCCGTTTTTAGCAAATGCATCAATTTCAGACTTTGTAAGGTCATCTTCTTCCCAGAATACATCAACAAATTTGATATCGAATACACTGGCCTCCTGAACTCTAAAAAAGCCGCTGTCAGCCCAATCACTTCCATGTGAGCCCATAAATCGCAAGTACTCACTTGTGTAGCTCGTGAGAACCACGGCATGTTCATCTAGACTGTCATCTGATGAATGTGTTCTGATATCGATATCAGATCTAGTAAGGATTCCACGTGGACGATCATTGTAAAATTTAGTGAAAGCATTCCAATCGACTTCGGCAAGCTTAAACATTGCCAAGACTGGGCGTTTTGCGGAAACTGCTTTCATTGCTCCTAACTCATCAACCTGTTGGCAATGAAGACGGTATTCAGCACATGTTTTCTTAAGTATATCCAAAGATGGCGCTCCACTGTCTTCATATTTTCTCAATATATAGTTGCGCAATTTAATGTAGTCAGGATATCCGCCATCACGGGAGAAGATGCGCTTCATAGCAAGATGCATCACTGCAGATGAGGCATTAGCAAACGTGAAAAGGCGACTGTCTTTGACAGCGAGCCCTTGGTTGGCTCTATTGATGTATAAATCGAGTGACACAGAGGATAAAACATCCGATAGGGCATCCTGGCAACAAACAACATTCCTCACAAGGTCGCAAACGTCGTCAATGATATCGGGATGATTAACTTGGCAGAATAAACGTGTTTCGTTGTTTGTTGTATCTATAGTCCATCCCCGTTTAACAAAAAGAGTTCGTGGTATATCTTGGGTTGTTATCGTTGAGCTCCACTTAAACATCAACTTTGCTGCCCTTTCCCACTCACGGTCTTCAGGTAGCACACTATACAGACAGCGTGGGTTATGTATATCTGCACTATTCGTAATGAAACAGCATATTATTTTCACATCTAATTCATGAAGCTCTTTGGGTAGTTCTTTCCCATCAGCGGGCTCACCATCGGATATGATGAAGAGCACCTTCTTGTGCTTCTGAAATTGTGGTCTTCTAAATACCTTCACTGCATGGTGTGATGCCTTTATAAGTGGTGTACCACCATATATGAATGGTTCGACGATTTTCATGAGGTCAGAAACACGATCATTTTTAAGGTCGATTGCAGATTCACTACCATGTAGTATATTCGATGCCTCGTTGCCGCTATATGTAATCGTATGTTCTCCTGAAACACCTTTCAGTCCCCAGGCAAGTTTTATACCGCTTTCTATCATATTTCGTATTTCCAAATTTGTGGCTTCGGGAATTGAGGGCATTGCTACAAACAGGTTTATCATCATGAATAAATATTCTCTCATTTTACCAAGTATTGAAGGGGGAGGGTGGCATTCACTTGGAAGACATTCATGTACAAATCTTGTTCTAAAATCACAATCTTCCTCGAGTGTGCTTAGAAGTACTGTTGTCTCAGAATCTTCGACATTTTCCAACAAAACGCTGATCTTCGCCCACATCCGAATTCTCGGTGCACCATTGTTTTCTAGTATCTTTAGTATTTTTTCGAACGTGTCTTTTGAGAAATATTCAAATCCTCTTTTCACTACATCTTTGATTTTGGCATTTTTAATTGACTGGTCCTCGGCGAGGCATTCCTGACCTTGAGATATAATGCCTTGGGGCTCTGTCCTACATATCTCAGGTAGAATTTCGTGAACAAATACCTTTCGAAAATCAACCACGTTGCTAAGTTTGTCGAGTAAAGTGTAAGCTTCAAAGTTTGAAACTAATCCAATCAACTCATCTGCGTCTGCCCACTTTTGAACCCTGGGCGCTCCATTTGATTTAAGAATCAATAATATTTTCTGCAACGTACTCTTATGAGCAAGTTTAAGTCCCTGGTTTACTGCGTCTTCGATATCTTTGTGTATTCCCACACGGCATCGGATGGGCAGAACTTCTCCGACAAGCCTTTTTCCTAGTTCAGAGTTTTCCTGTTGTAGTTTTTCAAGAATTATCTTAGCCTCTGACTCATAGAAAGTATCAGGTAAACCACATCCTTTTGACAGCCATCTTACGTTTGCGCCATATTGTTCCAATTTTGACATGATTTCGTCCAAGGTTTCTAGTTTTATTTTTGTTCTAATTGTCCCACCATCTTTTTCAAAACCAGTATCTGTTCGATCCCTTGGTCGATCTCGTATCGATATCCTACGGACTTGTTCAATGAATACCTTTGTTAATTCTTCAATGAATATGAATTGTGCAAATGAATTCAGAATACTTCGAATATTACGTTGGTCGTCTACTTCAACATCATCTACGAGCAAGTTACGTTCTGACATTGTTTCAGCAAGATTTATCGCCGCATCTATAGTTTCACGTGGTTTAGAAATCTTGGGATCAGGATTAGAATGCATGAAGGCATTCCATACCTGACTTATTGCACCAACCAAACTTTCCCGAGGCGTATGACAACTCTTGGGGAGACATTTTTCCACGAATTTTGTTCGGTAATGTTTGTTGTTTTTTAGGTTAGAAAGTAACACTACTACCTCAGTGATGTCAACGACTTGCACCAGGCCATCTATATTTGTCCAAGAGCGAATCTGGTTTGCACCATTCTCTTCGAGTAATGATAACAATATCTTAATTTTTCTTTTTAGAATAGACTGGACCCATTCATACACGCAATGTTCGACATTCCTTATCGAGACTGGGTAAGTGGATTGATCATAATTATCATATATCCTTCGGGTAAAGGGATGTACAAATATTCTCTCTTCAAATGCGGTATAACGACGTCCGAGCATATATAATATTTTAGTCGCGTGTAAAAATGGAACAACACCTGGTGTCCGTTCGACACTACGCTCAAGAACAGATAAGATATCTGAGAGTATTTTAAAAAGGTAAAGCTCGACTTTCGTGTTTGAAACTGGATGGGTGGATTGATCATATTTATCGTGTATCCTTCGGGTAAATCGATCTACAAATATTCGATCTTTTAGAGCAGTATTAGGACTTTCACCCCTTTGTAAGATGTCGATCTCGTCAAAAAGTGAAATAATATCTGGAATCCGAAGCACATTTCGCTCAAGAACAGATGAAATATTTGAGACTATCTTAAGAGCGAGGAGTCCTCGTTGATCCATACGGAATTCCTCAAGGGATTCCTCAGGCAACAACTTATCCAAATTCCTTTGTGCAGATAACAACTCATCCATAAAGCCTTTTCTGTATACTTCATTTTCTCTTAGAGAGTCAATCGCTTCAAAGGCCATGTCAGCATTGATTTCATGAAGTACATCTGTCATATACACACAGGGACGAATTTCTACCCCGTTCTGTTCTGCTATCGAAAATATTTCATCCAACTGTTCCAGCAAAAATATTTTGCGTAGCATAAATGGAACATTGTTTTGTTCGATAGATTCTCCAACCATACAATGTACAAATATGTCCCTAACAAAACAGTTGTTTTCAAGAGTGTTCAAGAAATGAGTTGACTCAGATAATGATATCACATCAAGTAATGACCGATCACGGCCCAGTTGATTTCGTACCACATTGACGCACTCTGTTTCTAGGATTGAAACTATCTTAGAAATGTCCAATTGAATTGCAAGTTCAATTCCCTTTCGAATCACATCTCGACTTTCTTCCTGTATTCCCTCACGACATTGTCGAGGCAGCGACTGAACGAACTCTTTTCTGAATTTAGTATCCTCTTCAAGTTTTGCGAGTAATTGTTGAGCGTTAAAAGTTGACACGATTTCAACCAAAGCATTCATAATTGAATATGAACAAATTTCTGGAGCACCGTTATCTTTTAAAAGCTCGCATATTTCCTTGAGGAGTTCACGTTTAGATTTGTATCGCTTGATGTGTGCCTCGTCCTTAAGTTTGTGTTTAGATTTGAACGAGGTTTGAACTTTCTCAACTGTGTTCAACAAGTCGAAAACGACTGGTTCATTTGGCGCTCCAAATCCCAATGCAAAAACTTGGTTGACTGAACTGACATCACGTTTAATTGTATTGTCAATTGCAGTAAATGTTGATCTGGACCAGCTTTCTCCTTCACCGACCACCTTGTCCTCATCTACAGAAACCCTCATAGAACCAGACACATCAACGAGTATACCCGTCACGACATTTCTCCCCGTCTCTATAATTTTATAACTTATAATTAATCAAACGTATATCCCTTTGTTCATTTTCTAATAGCGTTTGGATCTTTAAAATGTGATTCATTTCACTTAATTCATTTCATTTCATCTAATTTTATTAATTTGCGTCAGCTTCTTAAGCAGTTCCAGTTGGCTAATGATCGAGATTCTAAAACTCAAATATAAAGGCTAACAAAAGACCCTAAAAAATAATTGTGACCTTATATTTCTTTGTCAAGAAATTGTGGTATTTATAAAATGGAACTTCCTGAAAGTTAATGAAGGATGGCGAGTAGCCTTGCCCGAGTCGGTATCTTTTACTTATCTTGATTCCTATAATAATTCCAGATCAGATAAGTAAAAATAATACCGACTTGGGCAAGGCTAGATGGCGAGTTGTATGTAGAGAATTCTATTTCTCGAGTTGAACAGGGCTTGGAATCATTGTTACAAGGTCTTTGAATAACAAAAATGTTGTTTTAAATAGGTTTTACTTATGCGATTGCTTAAAGTCTCTCGGTGGTACAAAATCTAAAACCAATAGAACCCATAACCAATAAGGCCATAGTTTGGGGGAATCTTGGGGAAAAATATGTTAGCTTGCTGTCTGACCATCAAGTAAAATTGTTGCTAAATAAAGATGTCAGTCAAATCTGGTTAAATACAACATTACCCAAAATGGCATAAGTACATAGTATGTTCCTCATACATGTTTTATGCATCAGGTATCAAGAATTGGGGGATTAACAGTTACCCTACTATCACACCAAACTAGTTTTCACTACGTTCTCGAAAACGGGCGTCAACTGTGTACGAACGGACTGGACGTACTTAGAACCGTTTGGGGTATATTTCCTAACTTCACCGAACGTACTCGAACGGGTAGGTCCTCTAGAATTTAGAACATGCCAAAATGTTCTCGTTCTTCAAAACTGGTTTTAAACTGTGTGCGAATGGAATGAACGTAGCTACAACGTTCTACGGTCTGTTTACGAATTTCATGGACTTTCCCAGACGATTCAAAATTCGAAGGCGACCATACCGTTCTGTTATCAGGTCATGATGACCTTCTAGACTAAGGGACGCGTTCTACGACGTTGCACACCGACGTGGTGCGACCTGAACGAACTGCGAACGAGATGGACGTATTGAAGACTGTTTAAGAACGAAGAAGCTAATTATTTCAGACATATTTCCCGACCACAGCCAGATTGAGCCCGTTTGACGACGTTTTCGTAGGACTGGCATGAACGGGTGAGAACTAGTTTGGTGTGATAGGGGGGTTACACATAAACTGAACTGACATTGTGTATAGGCTATGTTTACAAGTCCAACTTCCATAGTTTAGAGAATTCAAAACTTACTGATAGCCATACTTTTTATTACATTGATATACAGGGTGACCCAAAAAAAATGCAACCCTCCATTTCTTCAATACTTTTCATAAATGGAGGTAAATTGCTCTGATATTTGGCACACATGGACTTCATTCAATGTGGGATCCTCTGGCAAAGTTTCAATAATAATAGTCTCATATTGATAGAGTTATGGTCGTTCCAAAATATGCTCCAAATGTCGCCCATTTCCAAGGTAAGGTTTTCGGATGAATCACATTCCCTTCTTTCTGAACATGTAAACTCAAGATATAATGTGTTCTGGGATCACAAATTCCAGATGAAGTGCTTCAAAGGCCCTTTCATTCTGTTAAATGCACAGCTTGGGCTGCCAATTTCCAAACATGAAATCATCAGCCCCTTTTGGTTTGAGGTTGATAATGGCAACACTGTTACTGTTAACACACAAAGCAATATTGGCGTTCCCAGGAAGTTCTAGGCAGTTCTAGAATGACATACAGGCTTCAATAGACAAGAACAGTGGTTCTAGAAGGATGGACCTACTCCTCACACTTCTAATGATAGCATAGCCTGGCTCACTAGTCATTTATATGAAAAGATTATCTCTCCTAGGATGGAGAACCCATGGTCATCCCACAGTCTTGATCTCAATGCCCCTGACTTCTATATATGGGGGTTATTTAAAGGATAATGTGTATGAAAATAACCCTACTGCAATTGCAGAACTCCAACAAGCAATGGCTGCAAAAATTTGAGCCATACCCATGGGAAGAATGCATCCGTGTTATGAACAGTTTTCCTTGAACATTGCAAGTTTGTTTTCAGCGAAATTGACGACATATGGAGCATATTTTGAAACAACCATAACTCTATCAATATAAGACTATGGTTATTAAAACTTTGCCAGAGGATCCCACATTGAATGAAGTCCTCGTGTGCCAAATCTCAGAGCAATTTACCTCCATATAAAAAAAATATTGAAGAAATGGAGGGTTGCATTTTTTGGGTCACCCTGTATTATAGCAATTCTGAATGGTAATACATTAAAAACAAGTATTTATTTACAAGAAAGTTGCAATGAATTGTATCAGTTACCTAATTTTTTATTCCATTGCCTGGACTACATTATGAAGAGAAATGGTAACGGAAGTGTCTTTTCAAAAGATCGAAAAAAATAAAGTGACCTATCATTTGTACACTACAGGTTGTCCTGTATGTTCGGAATTTTGTATACACATTTCAGTTTTGCACAAAGACTACATTAATTATAAAAAATAGTACCGTGGCTACTGGGCTCACATGGTGTTGCTCAAAAGTGAATGATGGCTAAAATGACAGAAAATAAAAAACGGATATAATTTTTTGCTGTTTTTTGTAACAAAATTATTTCATACAACTACTCTTTACAGAGACGTGGCTTTTTACAATGCAGGACACCTGAAGTTATTTGTAAAGCTAGGAAATGGGCCAAAAGTGAACTTCACGAGACAAAAATTGCGTCCATTTTTAAAATAGGCGAGCTTTTGAAGCAGGAGTCACAGTTTTTTTTTGATTGATGTTGAACAAAAATATTTTAAAACGGGAATCCAATCGACAGTGGATTTAAAAAGAGCTAATTGTTGACAGACAGAGGTTTTAAAACTTGCCTTTTTTGGACTGACTGAGAGACAGATGGACAAATCAATCATGTGAACTAAAATGGCTGAAAATAAAAAAAAAACGGATATAATTTTTTGCCGATTTTTTGTAACAAAATTATTTCATACAACTACTCTTAACAGTGACATGGCTTTTCACAATGCAGGACACCTGAAATTATTTGTAAAGCTCTAGGAAATTAGCCTTGCCCAAGTCGGTCTCTTTTACTATCTTGATTTCTATTATGACCGCCTTGTACCAAAGAGAAAGCAACGTGCTTTACCGACTCAATGTTTATGTCGGTAAAATTTGACCAATCAACGACGGCCCTGCAGCGTTAGCTCATTATTATTATGCACGGTCAAAAACAAGTACACTTTTTACTTTTCGCCGGGACTTTTCACGAACAAACTTGCATGAATTCATCATGAAAATACAAATATTTTATCAGATAAATATCAATCAGAGTTTAGTGGATGCCGGAGCATTGATCGGTAACCGGAGGCAGGGCTGTCAACTTGGGACCACCTAATATGAGTGACTTCAAAATGTTGGACACCTAAGTCCAAATCTGAACACTTTTGTCCAAATTTTGAACACCTTTGGCCAACTTTTAAACACCTTTGGCCAAAGTTTGAGCACCTTTGCCAAACTTTGAACACCTCAAATTTTTCGCGCTCGCTACGCTCGCGATATCGTCAACGGGGGGGGTGGGGGGGGGGGGGGGGGGGGGGGTGGGGGGGGGGGGGTAGGTACGAAAAATTTCCAATGAACATGCGTGACACATACGGGATTCGCGTGACAAATCCGAACAAATTGCGTTCGGTTTTTTCCGGCGTTCGTATTTTTACCGTATCGTAAACATATTTCGAAAAAATTTCTACAGAAATATTTTTGCTTGACAATTACCAGGTAAAATGCGTATTTTGCGTGACATTTTCTGTCACGCAAAAAAAACTGGCGTGACTTCAAATTCTTCAGCAAATGCGTGACAAATACGCAAATTGCGGGACAGTTGACAGGCCTGCGGAGGTGAGAAGATTTCAACAACAAACGTTGAAACGATCGTTGAATTCAAATGAACATGAAGGCTGAGATTCAATCACTGATCGACTACATGACCCGTTACATTGGACTCGGTCTTGCATTTTCATCGCGAAATCAGTTTTAAATCTATTGCATGATTTAATTTATATTAATGACTCTTACATTCCCTATGTACATTTAATTACATAATATATTGTAACTCTAAAGAAACGATCGATCAGATCATCGGCATTGAATTTCAAATCGGGAAGATTGCTTTGCTTATGCAGGTCAACCTGATAACGTTTTTGATTGGTCAATCAGCCTGAAGTCACACGTCGTGTCCAGACTGTCCACGCGCAAGGAGGATTGGAAGCCAGGGTTCCAACTCGATATTCTTTAATCTCCACGCATGCGTCATTTGCTATTCGTGTCTGTATAATTTGTACGACTGCATGGAGAATGACCCGATACTCTCCAACAAAGCTATCGCTAGGTGATTGTTTTGCAGAATATCGGTGTTGCATTCTGGGAGCCAATCCTCCTTGGTCCACGCGTATATCTGTTAATCAATAAGGTTTCGCGATACCCCCGATAGCGTAGGTATTATGGAAATCTCGAAACCGTTGAATAACTCTGCATAATATCAGCGCAGGTGTATTGGATTGTACAAGGCGGTAATAATTCAAGATCAGATAAGTAAAAAAATACCGACTTGGGCAAGGCTATAGGAAATGGGCCAAAAGTGAATTTCGCGACACAAAAATGGCGACCATTCTGAAAATAGGCGAGCTTTTGAACCAGGAGTCATAGGGGATTTTTTTGTATTGATGTTGAACAAAAATAACTTAAAACGGGAATCCTATCGACAGAGGTTTCAAGGCAAATGGTCCAAAAGTGGATTTTGCGAGACAGATGGACAAATCAATGTTAACTAAAATGGAATCGTATCGACAGAGGTTTTAAAACGTGCCACTATTGTTGA